GAATGTTTGTCTGTGATTTGTGCATATCGAGATCCTCGTGGGTTCCAACAAGACATCGCCTATCGAACTCGGCGACGTCCTTCTTCATACCTCTCCACCAAAACGACCCCTTCAGGTCGTGGTACACCTTCGTGCTCCCGGGACGGGCCAAGTAAGGTGCGGTATGTACCTCTGCTAGAATCTCCTTCCGCAATGCCTCGGCCTTCGGGACCACGATCCTGCCTCTGAACTCCAAGGCACCATCGGCGCCTAGCTGAAAATCCTGTACTCATCCGGCGCGAACCTTGGCCTCCATGACACGCACAAACTCGTCAGAAGCCTTCTCTCGCCGGATCTTCTCCCTCAGTGTCGGCTGAAGCTGCATAGCACTGACACTGGCACTAATGCTCCCCGAGACCGCTATGGGGAGTGCGTCAATCGCCTGAAGTTGCATCCGGGCAAACTCATGGATCAATGGACTCTGCTGCGTGATGACATACATCAAGTCTCCCGTCACCTTTCGGCTTAGGGCATCTGCGACGACGTTCGCCTTCCCCGGATGGTACTGGATAGGACAATCATAATCCTTGACCAATTCGAGCCAACGGCGCTGCCTCATATTAAGCTCCATCTGCGTAAAGATATACTGTAGGCTCTTATGGTCAGTGAATATCTCGCAGCGTCCGCCATAAAGATAATGACGCCAGATCTTCAGGGCATGAACGACTGCGGCTAACTCTAGGTCGTGCGTAGGATAGCTCTGCTCATGAGGTTTAAGCTGACGTGAAGCGTACGCTACGACCCGTTCGTCCTGCATAAGGACACATCCCAAGCCCTGCCTCGAAGCATCGCTATAAATAGTGAAACTCCGAGAAGGATCTGGGATAGTCAACACCGGTGCTGTCGTCAATCTCTTCTTGAACTCCTCGGAAACAGTAAAACTGGAATGTACAAGCTTAACTTAAAGCTTATACTTACTGATTGCATGACTTGAGAATCCAGTAATTTAATACTGAATAAAAGAATTAATCAATTCACAATTAAGTGAATCGTAGAATACTGCTGACTGAAAATGGACACTTTTCTGAAAGAAAGTGTTCTACTGATAAGATATGATTTCGAAACTCTGAAATGTGTTGATCGTCCTCTTCTGGCTGCTGGCGGATCTCCGATCAGAATTCTGGTGGTGAAGACTCTCTTCGTAATCTCCCCATGAACTGGGACTCAGACATGGCATCCTCGAATGGAAAGCGTCGGTTTATCATCATGGCACGATCCGTTGTTGTTGATTGGCTCTTCTCCATCGCGGCGAATGTCAACCTGTGGTACCTGCAACTTTTTTACTCCCTCTAAGGTTACACTTAACCTCAAGAAGAAGTCCCTCATGACTTAATATCTCCCACGATTTCTCAGATTCTTCAGAATTTGAGAATCGAGGTGCTGACATACTGAAAATGGTAGATAAGTCCTGTCTTACTAGACAGACTATCCTTGATCTTGTCATGACCGACCTGAATACTCTCACGGCTGAAAAACCATGACTTGACTC